GCGGCCCCCGCCGCCCGGCCACGGCGGCCCGGAGGGCGGTGGAAGTGTCTCCGACCCGCACGGCCCCGAAGGCCGAAGGAGCTTCTAGAAGGTTCCGGCCGGCCTGGACTCCGCCGCCCGCGATCACGGACTCGGAAGGCCGCGGCCCGCCGCCGGGAGTTTATTTTTCTCTACATGAACGTGTGCAAATGACCGAAATAAAAGTGTGAACTGCGCGTGCTCTTGTCGGTCCCGGGGCTTGAACCCGGGTCCCGGGCGCCGTCCCTCGGCTCACGGCGAGCGGGTTCCCCTGTCCCGCCCAGGCTGGCTTTGAACCCGCGGCCTCAGACCCCAGCCTCCTGCGTGGCCGGATGACGGGCGGGAGCCGCCGGCTCCTGCCTTGCGGAGGCGTGGGGAGAAGGACGCGTGTGCGCGTGCGCATCCGTGCGTGCGCCCCGCGCGCCCTGCGCCCTGCGCCCCGCGCCTTTCCGAGGCTGGCGCTCGTCCCCCTGAGCCACGGCTTTTGCTGATCCCTGGCAATGGCGGCCTCACAGACTGTCGTGCCGGGGCTGGCTCTGCACCGCGGTCCCCCGAGCTCGGCCTCCTGCGGAGCCGCCCGTGCGGCCAAAAGTGGGATTTTATTGAGGACGGTGTTTTTTGTTTTATTGTGAAAATACCGTGCGGCGGGTCGCGGTGACGGGGCGAGGCCACGGGTCCGTGTCTGGCCGAGCGTGGCCGCCGCCTGTGCCTCCCTTCCCGTCCAGACACGACCCTAAACACCCCCAGAACAAACCCCCCGGGAAACACGCCCGCCGCGGAGCAGGCCCTCGGGAGGGACCCGCCGCAGCCTGGGCTCCGGGTCTGAGCCTCCCGCCTGCCGTCCCCGCCACGCGGGAGGCTGAGGTGGGAGGATCGCGGGTCGAGGCCGGCCCGGGCAGGAAGGGCCGCGAGGCTCTGATCCCCCATGAACCGCCAGAAAGCCGGGCCTGGCGCCGTGGCTCAGGTGGTGGAGCGCCCGCCTGGAGCTGGGGAGCCGAGGGGCAGCGCCCAGGCCGCGAGCTCAGGCCCCAGGACCGGCACACAATAATCGGCCTCCCCGGCCGCCCCGTCTGCTCGCCGCCCTCCCCCGTGCGGGCCGCGGTGGAAGCGGGGCGCACTCCCGGGTTTGCTGCGTTGACTCTCCTCCAGCGCCG